TTTTTTCTGAATTAAAAGTATTAATTTTTTAGAGCTTCAATACTGAAATTAGAAATACTGCTGATAAAGGAAAAAAAAAATGAGAGTTGTATGTGTTGTCTTCTTTATTTCTTTGTGTAAATTTACGTAAAGTTTTTATGGTTACCAAAATGAACCCGGTGATCCACGAAAACCGAAATATCTCATCTTATCTCATTCTTTTCTTGTAAATAAAAAGAAGGCATATATACTAAATAAAATTTGCATTAAAACTATTCCGACCACAATTATTCTAATGAATCATTTCTTAAAAATATGAATACTAATTCTGTCAATCAATTGAATAATTTTATTTTCCTTTTCAAACACAACATTTTCGATTTCTAAAACCATATAAGTTAAACCGGAATAAGATGAGAAAACTTAAAATTGCTTTAATAGTCTTGAATTTTCCACTTTTTTCGTTTATAGAGTTTTATAAATATTTTAATGAATATAATCTCTATTGTAACCAATGTTTAAGATAATTCTTTCAGTATTACTTTTAATGTTGTATCTTTCATCTCAGTCAAGATCAAATCAAATCCATAGTAATGTGTCTAATTATATCTAATCTAATATTTCTATCATTATATCTAATATTTCTTTAAAAGTTCGACTGCTATTTAAAATAATAAAATATGTCTCAATATCTCATTCGTGATTCTGTTATCACATAGGATTACATGGCATAATATTATGCTTTTATAAAACTTATGTCATTCTCATCAAAAATTTTAACAGACAAAATTTTCTTTTCAAAATAAAACTATATTTTTAAGACACTGTAAGTGTCTTAAAAATAAGTGAAAAGTGATACGATATAAAATTAGTATTTCAATTGATGTTAATATAAAAAAAATAACGTAAAAAAAAATATATAAAAAATTTAGAATCTTGTGTAAGAGTCGTTTTTCTGAATTACTTTTAATTTTTTAGTTTTCATTGAAGAAACTATGTAAACGTTAGACGTTTTTAACAAAGTTAGGTGTCGGTTTTATACCATTTTAATCTCGTTTTTCATCTCACGGGGACTTCGTTTCTTCTCGCAGCATCCTTTTTCACCATTATTGTCTTTCAATTTTAAGAACTTACCGACTACAGTCTTTGAACTACCTTTCTTTATCATCGCAATAGCATGAATATTTATTGAAGAAAAAGATCCTATCTGTTTTTCATGATCAATTAACCTCTTTACCTTTGGCAATTTTCACAAAAAGCACTAATACTTCGAAAAAAATGCAAAAAAAAAAAAAAAAAAAAAAAAAAAANTCATTGGTTAAAAAAAAAAAAAAAAAAAAAAAAAAAAAAAAAAAAATGCAGAAAAATACATATTAAAATGCATAGCAAATTTATAAATAGAAGTGTTTTTACAATCTTCACATTTGTCATAGTATTCTTTTTTTATTATATTTACTTCTAAAAACCACTAGATTTTAAAGTTTTCACTCAGGATCTCAGGCTAAAATATTAATTGTGAGCATAAATTTTTTTCTGAAAACTGTATAAATATAAATCTTCTTTGACGAGTTATTTCTTAATAACATACTTTAAGAAACAAATAAAATGAATTTCAATTGTATTTTTTGATTTTCTTATATGTTTTCTCTAGTCTGAAAGTTTTTAATCAGTCGGTACATCATGTTCTATTTTATTAGAGATACTGCAATTGATTTGTAAATCTCTGCTCACTTAATAGTACTTTTTAATAGAATTGTGTATAGGATGTTCCGAAAAAACTATTCCTTCGATAAATTTCTTGAGTTCTTCTCACAAATGAGGTGGGGGAAAAAAGGATCCCAAATTAATACTTAAGTTGAGAAAAAGAAAATCAAAACATGACTAATCATCAATTGAGAAGATGAGATTAGAAATGTATGCGTAGTTGCTGAAAAAACAGAGGAATTGAAAGACACTTTAAGCTTAATTCGGCATTCGGCAATCAAACTGGTTTCAAAGCTTTAAATCCGTGTGTCTTAATAGTGATTCTTAAGATTTTCATATTGTTTTTCTCGCTCTTAAATGATAGCTTGCGATCCCTAATTTGCATATATTTTTTTAAACTGCATTCTTAAAGATGATTCCAAAATTAAATATAAGGACATACAGTAGGGGACACTCAACATAATAGAATCAAGATGTTTCAGTTTTCATAATTATGCGTTGCATTGAATTTCAGTAATTGTAGTAAAAGATATTGATCGGATTGTGAAATATAATATTTTTCTATTTAATGTCACATTTTTGTCTACATTAAGAAAAAGTTACTTTTATCAATTTATATATATACATATATATATATATATAATTAAGAAAACATATTGATACAATATTACAATGCACTCTTTTTTGTGGATATAATCATGTGAGCTAAAGAAAAGATTATATATTTTATTTTCAGGATATTTTTCAAATTTTTGTCCTTTTTTTTCGGATTGTTTTTTGTTCTTCCGGTTTCTTATTATTTTTATTATTACTATTTTCCATTGTTCTGTAATTTTTCCCTTGTTTCCTCTACATTTTGATAAATAGCATTGCTGTTAGCATTTTAAAATGACTTTGCACTAGCATTGACTGTTTCGTATACTTAAAAAATTTAATTGAATATCAAAATGTTATTTTCCTGGCATGTCCCAAACAATATTTCCAACAATAACTAGCTTCAAAACTTCCCATACATTTTTCAAAATCTAATTTTTTTTTAATCTTATCCTATGTAAGTATTTCTGGAATATACGTAGATGGTATTGTTTACAAAAACTTCGTTAAAAAAAAAAATTTCTGTCAATAATTTGTTTGTCCCATGAAAATCTATCATTTTCCTGGCTACTTTTATTTAGTGAATTATAACCAAAATAGATAGCGCCAGGAATCAATATCTTATGTTAATAGATTGATTACATACCCTCCTATCTGAACATGTCTTGTTGCATGAATAAAGAACCAATTTTCTGGCTCAAAATCTATTTCAAAAA